CTCGGTCATGGTGAAGATCTGTGGGAAAGAGGATCTACAAGCACGCAGGATGGACCCATTTCGTGCTCTGTGTGGAGACAGTGCTGGGTGGTGGCTCAAGCTCACTACTCTCAGGACACAGTGCCATCAAAGCACCAGCAGCCGGGTGGAGATTTGGATTCTATTTTGGGGATTTTTTTCCTAATTTTTGTTAATGTGTTTTCTTTCGATTAGAGGGGGAGAGAGAGAGAGGTCTTCCTTATGCTAGCTCACTCCTCAGATGCCTGCCACATCTGAGCTGGATCAGAGTTCAGAACTCAATCCAGGTCTCCTACGTGGCTGGGAGCTACTTGAGCTGTGACCTGCTGCTTCCCGAGATGTGCACCAGCGGGAAGCTGGATCAGAAGTGGGGCCGGGGCTCTCACAGGCACCCGGACACGTCTGTCTCTCCTTTATGCTTCGCTCTTTTATGTAGGGATTTCCCTCTGTTTTATATCCCTTTCTGTACTTTTCTTAGGTTAATTATTTATTGTTTCATAATTCCCTTATTGTCACTCACTGATTGAATGTTCTCTCACTGGTCTTTAAGTAGCTTCACTAGAGAACAAGGCACCCCTACTTGACTTACCGAATCCTTACTAATTTTCCACTTTGCTAATGTTGCTGGAAACTCAAGGTATCTCAACTCTATTTAATTCCTCCTGGCTTTTGCAATGATTGCTGGCATGCATCCCTGTCTTACATAAAATTTAAAATCTTCCAGACATTCCGAGCATATCCTTTGTATTTACCCAGGGGCTCACTAACTCTTGCATTCCTAATGCCTTCTGAAATTTTCCGTTTTCCAGGGTTGGCGTTTGGCCTAATGGTTAAGGTGCCCCTTGGGACACCTCCATCCCACATCAGAGTGCCTGGGCTTGAAGCCTGGCCATGCTCCCAGCTACAGCTTCCTGCTAATGCAGGCTCAAGGAGGCAGCAGGTGGTGGCTCAAGTACTTGGGTCCCTGCCACCCACCTGGGAGACCCACAGTTAGTTCCAGCCTCCTGGCCCAGCCCCAGCCACTGCGGGCATCTGAGAAGTGAACGAGCAGAGAGGATAGATCTCTCTCTCTCTCTCTCTCTCTCTGTCTCTCAACATATATAGTAACCCTGCATGCTCCTTGAGATACCTCCAAGTTTTGTTCTTTAAAGAAATTACGTCCATTTTTCCATTTGGCGTTATTTTCAATCATCCAAAAAAACTTCATGATGACAAAGGCCTTCATTTTACTTCTTTGTCCAAAAACATTGTTTTCACTGTCATTTTTTTTATTGAGTTCAGCAGTGTTGGCTGATGTGTTCTCTTTCAGGAATTTAACCTGTCGTTTGCTGTTTCCTGCTCTGGGTGATTCTCTCGAGATGTTGCCGGTCACTCTCTCTGCGGTGCCTTTGACTGGAATTCGACTTTTCTTCTGTATTTGTAAAGCTGTTTTCTGTGGTTGGTCTGTGGCACTTTGGATATGATCTAGCCTTGGCTTCTTGTTGGTGCCAGCACAGGGGTGGTGTTTATCTCTGTCTGGTGTGCAGGGCTTGTGGACGTGTGTTGGTGCTGTCCCCAGCTCTGGACACACCTCTGAATATTGCTTCACCGTGTTCTTTCTCCTCGACGTCCAGTGCGCCTGTTGTATGGTTACTGCGGTATCTCTTCTGTTTGGCGTTTTCTGTATTGTCTTAAATGCCGAATCATAGGTGCTTATGTATTTGAGACTCACAGAGACAGACAACTCCCGTCCACTGCGTCACTCCCCAAATGCACGCAATGGGATGGGGTTGGGCCCGGCAAAAGCCAAGAGCCAGGAACTCAGCCCACGTCCTCCCACACGGGTGGCAGAGGGCCCGCTACGTGACCACTTGCTGTCTCCAGGATCTGCGTCAGCAGGAAGCTGGAGTCGGAAGCTGGAGCAGGGACTCAAACCAGATACTCCAGCGTGGGACAAGGGTGTCTTAGCTGCCCGGCCAAATACCCATCCCATAACCAAAGCCATTTTAAAGTCTTGATCTGTTAACTCCAAGATGTGGATCATCCTTGAGTGTTCTGTCTTTTGACTTTTGGTAAGATTTTGTTGTCTTTTTCTATATACAAAAGTACTTTTAAAAGTTCCTGGAAAACAGTGGAATTAGTTTTGGTGTATTTTGAAACCCATGTGTACAGGTTTGTTTTTTTTTTTTTTCACATTGTCCGTGAACTTTGGGGGCCCCTGGGGTAGTGATCTCTCAGGGGGTGGAGACCGAGGGCACGTAGCTCTGGGAGGGGCTCAGTCACGTCAGAGCAGAGCTGGGCTGAGGGCTTGGTGGCCTCTGCGTCTCGTCCAGAGCCCCTGGACCACCTGTGCTCTGGCGATGGCCGCTCAGGTCTTCGTCCCTCGGTGCAGAGCCTCCGGCACACCTGGCTCCACACCCTCCGGCCCCAGCGCCACCAACAGCCGCAGGCCCCACAGTGTGTCAAGTCTGCAAGTGCCTTGGCGTTGGGGCTGGCCACGGGCTGGAGGCCATCACAGCCCCGTCCAGTGTTTGCTTAGCTGGGGGAGAGGTCATTCTGCTAAGGCACCAGTCGCCCTGCAGTTGACATGCTCAACCAGTGTCCCTTGTGGGAAGTGGCTGTGCGTTTGGGGAACCTCAGGTTTCCTTTTGCATCTGGAGCCCTGTGAAGCTGGGAAGCATCTCACAATCTCCTTGCCCCCCCCCCCCCGAGGCCTCCACGTCTGCCGAAGAGCTCAGGACTGGACGTCTCCCTAGAGGCGAGCAGCCGGTCATCACCAGTCAGCACGGAAAGCCTCGCACCGTCCGGAGCGCTCTCAGCTTGACAGAGCCCTCCGATGTTATTTCTGCAGTTGACCCTCTTTCTCTCGTTATTTTTATGAAACAGGAGCCTGCCACCAACTGTGATTTCCTGTGCAGAAGTGGAAGTGGGCTTTGCTTTCTTTTTTTTTTTTTTTTTTGAGATTTATTTATTTATTTATTTATTTGAAAGTCAGAGTTACACAGAGAGAGGAGAGGCAGAGAGAGAGAGAGAGGTCTTCCATCTGCTGGTTCACTCCCCAATTGGCCACAACGGCCAGAGCTGGGCCGATCCAAAGCCAGGAGCCAGGAGCCTCCTCCAGGTCTCCCACGTGGGTGCAGGGCCCAAGGACCTGGGCCATCTTCTACTGCTTTCCCAGGCTGTAGCACAGAGCTGGATCAGAAGTAGAGCAGCCAGGACTTGAACCCGTGCCCATATGCCAGCACTGCAGGTGGCGGCTTTACCTGTTACGCCACAGCACTGGCCCCTCTGGCTTTCTTTTCTATTGTATGGCTCTCACATTTTTCCGCCTGCAGAAATGACAGCTCAGCGTACCTTTGGAGACATCAGTCGAGCTGGTTGAGGTGCTTGTCCGTCAGTCACGTGCCGTCTCCTAAGGATGAGCCTGGCAACATTATTTTTCAGAGTGCTGCAAGCAACTGAATGGGTATCCAGGCCCACGGACAGGGAGTTCCCCTCCATGCATCTAAAAGCCGACAGCACAGCACGCACTGGTGGAGGATGCTACGAGACCTAGAACTCACACGTGGGGAGACACCCAGACCCCCCAGGAATTCCCGTTAGACAACACAGGGCAGGGGGGCCCAGCACCTGTGAAGGAAGGTTGTGCAAGGCAGGGCCACGGCTGCAGACGTGGACGGGGCCAGACCGCCTGCTTCCTCCCTTTCCTCGGTTCTTTGGGCGAGTTCCCTGGCCTCTCTGCACCTTGGTTTCCTCCCCTGCTGACGGCAGCACCTAACTAAGAGCAGCACGTGGGCTGCTGTTTGCCAGGTGTTTAGAGAAGAACGTCATGCGCACTTGGCACCCAGAGCATGCACTAGCAGCTGCGTTCTGCAAGTCCTCCCTGGCAGGCATCCTCTCGGCTCATCCCACCTCTGGGAGAAGCCACCCAGCCCCTCCAGCCTCTGCCCAGCCCCCCGCCCCAATCTCTCACGCCTGCATCCTCCCAGGGCCGGCTTCCCTCGACGCTCCTTCTCCATCGATGCCTGGGGCTCGCCGGGTGTCTCCTCCGCCGCATGCATGCTTATTGGGTGGTTGGGTGGTTGTTTTTTTTTTTTTTTTTTTGGTTGCCTAGAAACTCAACTTGGGAGACTCCTGGCTGATAAGCAGCAAGAGATGGAGCTATGGCCTCTGAAGATAGGTTTGGCCTCCGTGGCCTCTGTGGCTTCTGTGTCTTGTTAGCACCCTCCCCTTCATTGAAGCCTTGGAACTCCTCTTCCTTGGGGAAACAGAGGGCTGTGTTGTTGACGTTAGAACCGGGGCTGGGGCACCGAGAAACCTTGCTGCCTTCCAGGTGCGACTGTCTGTGCAGGACCCTCGCCACTGAGTTCTGCTTGATTTCATTTTATCCTGTGTTCGGGGGGGCCGTGGTACCGGGACAAAGCCCCTGACCCTGTGGGAGTGGCACGCACCACGTCGTTTCCGCTCAGTTCTCCCCAGCATCCCCCTTCTGACTGCATGGTCTCATCTTTAACCCAGCATACTCACGTCAAGAATGCAACCAACATGGGCGTCTGCAGCATCCCCTTATCCCGGCCACAGCTGCCCAGCTCCTTGTCCTGCCGTGCCCTGCTGAAGTCAAGGGAGGGGCTCCTTCTCCCCTCGCAGCCACAGGGAGCAACAGATGCAGCTGGTGTGGTCCAGGCTCAGGTGCCTTCGAGAAAGCCAACAAGGGTTCAGGCCTTCTCGAGCTCAGCCGGCCCTCCGCCGGTGAGCAGCTCCGTGTCGCTGTGGGTGTCTCTCCCAGTGCTCACTGCTTGGAAGCACTTGTGTGTGCACTGAGGGGATGAGGGGCTGCCCTTGGCGTTCTGTTCCACTGGTCTTCATTCAGGGGTTCCCCAGGGGCTGTCCCACCTGGAGCTCTGCAGAGAGCCCGTTCTGGGCCCCCAGCGGGGCCCCTGTTCCCCGCGTGTTTCTGCTGCACGCCGCACTCACTGCTGCTCTCCTCCGTCTTCCTCCCGCAGGTCATCCACCAGCTGCGGCTCTCGGAGAACGAGAGCGTGGCCCTGCAGGAGCTGCTGGACTGGAGGCGGAAGCTCTGTGAGGAGGCAGAGGAGTGGCAGCAGATCCTGCACCCCGCCGAGCCCAGGGCGCCTCCCCCGCCGCCCTGCAAGAAGCCGACCCTTGTGAAGAAGCCAGAAGGGGGCCCCTGCCACAGGTTGCCCTCCGAGCTCTGGGACAGCACCATCTGACGTGGCCGCACCGCCACGCACGGAGCCCCACCGCCCAGCCACACCGCGCCGCGACGCCAGACGGTGCCTCTCATGCACGCTGGGGCTGCCTCCAACCATTTCCACAACAAAGCACAGGACCCTGGCGCTGAACACATGAGGTTTCCCATGTGTGTGTGTGCATGTGTGTGCATGTGAGAGTGTGTGTGTGTCCATCCATGTGTGTGTGCACACTTGAGAGCATGTGTGAGTCCATCCATGTGTGTGTGCACACTCGAGAGCATGTGTGAGTCCATCCGTGTGTGTGCATGTGAGAGCATGTGTGCGTCCATCCATGTGTGTGTGCACACTCGAGAGCATGTGTGAGTCCATCCATGTGTGTGTGTGCATGTGAGAGCATGTGTACGTCCATCCATGTGTGTGTGCACACTCGAGAGCATGTGTGAGTCCATCCGTGTGTGTGCATGTGAGAGCATGTGTGCGTCCATCCATGTGTGTGTGCACACTCGAGAGCATGTGTGAGTCCATCTGTGTGTGTGTGCATGTGAGAGCGTGTGTGCGTCCATCCATGTGTGTGTGCACGTGAGAGCATGTGTGAGTTCATCTGTGTGTGCACTTGAGAGCATGTGTGTGCACGTGAGAGCATATGTGCGTCCATCTGTGTGTGTGTGCACGTGAGAGCGTGTGTACATCCATCCATGTGTGTGTGCACACACGAGAGCATGTGTGAGTCCATCCATGTGTGTGCACGTGAGAGCATGTGTGAGTTCATCTGTGTGTGCACGTGAGAGCGTGTGTGCATCATCCATGTGTGTGTGCACACTCGAGAGCATGTGTGAGTCCATCCATGTGTGTGCACGTGAGAGCGTGTGTGCATCATCCATGTGTGTGTGCACACTCGAGAGCATGTGTGAGTCCATCCATGCATGGGTATGTGCACACACGGGAGCATGTGAGTCCATCCGTGTGTGTGTGTGTGTGTGTGTGTGTGTGGTTTCCTACCGTTTTGTGGTGATGCACTCTGAGTTTTAGGTTCCACGTCTTCAGGCCATGCTACCCATCGGTGGCAAGAGAGACGCTGGGAACAGGGTGTTTGAGGAGCGAGAAGGGAAGACAGAGGTGGGCGTGGAGCGACCCACGCACACGCCCTGTGCATTTTTACAGAAATCAGCAGCAACGGCCGCGTATGTCCGGGGGTTTTAATACGGTCCAGAACGTGGACAGACATCTTACTTCTGTGTAGGCGTTTGTGTCTCCTGACCACCTTGATGTGTTTATTACTGTATTTTATAACTTTATGCCGTCGGTGGTGCTCCCTGCCTCAAAATACAGATTTTAAAACATTCTTTCTAGATCTTTTTTTCTCTCCACCCCACCCCTTCTTTCAAACGCATCATACCTAAACCTGTCACGACCATCTCGTTGTGGTCTCGGCTTTGCCAGGGTCCGTCCCTGCGAGAGCTTGGACGGAGCTCCCTGCTTTAGATTCGGCCGTGGGTCAGGAGGCCGTGGTCCCTGCCTGTGCCCTGCGCTCCTGGACGCGGGGGTGGCCCATGCACGCCTCCTTAGACGTCACCTCCCCACTTCAGCGTGGCTCCAGGAGCGCCTACGGCACTCACTTGCACACTTAGGGCTTCAGAGCCATAGCTGGTGGCAGCCAAGGCTCACGTACACCCAGGGGCTGACACAGGACAAGTCCACGGAGATTCTGCATCACAAAGCAGTCTCCCTCCCAGCGTCCACTGCATGACTGACTTGCTGCGTGCCCTCGGCCCTCCTCACGCGTGGATGCGGTCCCCCGGCTGTCGGCACACTCGGAGCAACGGCCCCAGACCACCACGTCTTGCTACTTCGAACATTCTCTTCGTACCAGCCTTTGAAAATCGACTGTGCCAATAAAAGGGTACAATTACGCTCTCCTGTGGGTCTCCTTGTTTGTTGCTGTGGTCTTCCAGGGACACGCGTGCTCTCTGCTCAGACAAGCACAGGCGGTGAGGTGATCCCTCCCACCCGCTGTGGTGGGTACTGCCTGGCTGCATTGTGCAACGTCGGGTTCCAGAGCCCTGCATTCCACGCAAGCTTATGCTTATTTAGCTGAAACCAACAGATCCAGAGGCAGCTGCTATGAGAAAGGTGGTTGGTCGAATTGAGAAATCACTAGAGAAGCAATCACACCGTGCCATTGGAGTGGGAGGGAGCACACGGGGGAGGCCCAGGGCTGGCCAGGTGACAGGAGGAAGCCAGAGAGCTGTCGCTCCCACAGAAGGAGCAGAGAGAACAGGCGTGACCAACAGCAGTGGGTTCTCGGGGATAGAAACTGGCTCTGGGGGTCGCTCCCCAGTCCTGAGACCAGTGGATCTGCCAGGTGGTGCCTGCAGTGGGGACCCAGTGAGCTGGTACGGGAGGAGGTTGAGGCACGGGCGCTGGAGCGCGTGGCCTGCATGTGAGAGCTATGCCCTTGGGTCAGTCACTTACTGTGTCTGGGATGTTTCCTGGTTTTTTTTGTATGTTTTGTTTTGTTGTGTTTTTTTGAAAGGCGGAGCAAGAGATCTGCCATCTGCTAGTTCACTCCCCCAGATGCCCGCAACAGCCAGAGCCGGGCCAGGCCAAAGCCAGGAGGCCAGAACTCTGCCTAGATCCCTCACGTGGATGGCAGGGATCCAGATCCTTGAGCCACATTAGCAGGCAGCTGGATCAGCAGTGGAGCTGGAACTCAATGCTGGACGCTACACGAGGGCTAACAGCTGCTGCAGACCCTGACTCCTGTGTCTAGGAGTTGACTAGCCGAGAGCAGTGAGCAGGTCCAGATGTCAGCATCAGAACACGTGAAATAGGAACGTGGTCAGGACATGCTCTCCACATCACTGCTGCCATCCAGCCATCACAGGAGGCGCTCTGCCTGCTCGCCCCGCCTCTTCTCCCCAGGCCCGCCCTCTGACTTCCTAAACCCGAACAAGAGCCACAGGAGAAGCCGGCATCCCTTAGCCCCATGGCTCTCTGAGCCCTGCCTCGCAGGTTGTAGGCACTTTGTGATCTTGGTTGTGTAAAAAGCTGGAGTTGCGTTCTCCGCAATGCATTTGTTTATAGATAGTTATTTATTTATTTATTGACTTGAATGAATGAATGAATTAGAAGAGAGAGGGAGGGCAGATCTTCTATCTGTCTGTTGGTTCACTCCCCGGTTGACCACAAGGGCCCAGCTCGGCCAGGCTGAAGCCAGGAGCCTGGAACTCCATCGGGGTCTCCCATGTGGATGGCAGGGGGCCACGCACTCGTGCCATCTGCTTTCCCGGGAGCATTAGCAGAGTTGGCAGTGGAGCAGCCGGGCCGGGAGCTGGTGCTCATTGGGATGCCGCGTCACTGGAGACCCCGTTCGACCACTGCACCACACTTATTTATTTAGGCCAGTGTGGCAGCGGAGCTCCTGACGTAGACATCTCATGAGAGCCTGTGTCCGGGCTCCACGGAAGCAGTCGGTGTGCCTTCGCCAGGTGCTCAGCACATAGCAGTCCTAACACTCACTGTTTTAATTGATTTTTAAAAATCTCCATAGGCTGAGAGCTTGCACAGTGAGCGTTCACCTTTCCAGGTAGGTGGGAGGCTGAGAAGCCCACACTTAGGCTCCCGGACCTCGTGTCCGTGACGGCCCCACTGCCTGGTTTGCAGACAGAAGCTCATCGTTCTGTCCTCACGCAGCAGAGAGAAGACAGACAGCAAGCAAGCTTTGTGGGGTCTCTTCCTCTAAGGACACCAGTCCTGCTGGGAGGACTCCAGGCTCACGACCGGAGCACCTCCCATTGTTCTGGAAACACCACGGGATTCCAGCTTAGGTTTGCACTTGCGAGTTTCGAGGGAATGCAGTTGAGTCTGCAGGTGGTGGCATCATCTGCCCACTGACAGAGCAGTGAGCGCAGGACCTCAGTAGTCCCTCATCCAGGAACCCTCGTCTTTGTGACCCCAGTGGCCATGCCACTTTAATGTGATACGCAGAGATTGTCAACTCAGCGTATCAGACTGTATCTCAAAGCTTCGAATCAAGTGGCCTTTTTCAGAGACATAGTTGCAAGAAGCTATGCGGCAAAGCCACGCAGGAGATCGTCCATGAAGTGAGGGGTCCCAAGCCCGGTAAGGGTCCCCGCCATGCTCCTGTGTTCTCTGCTAGCCCACTAGACCTGCACAGTGTTAGGTGAGCGTAACAGTCACCGGCTAGGGTACCAGAGCATCATGAGGTTTGTCGACCTTCTGCAGCTGGAAGGCCACGCCCTTGTGGATTATTTAAACAACATCTTCTGCAGCCTCCTGCATTAGCACCATCCGATTGCACCTGCTCCACTTGCGTGGTAGGACCGTCAGCAGAGAGTCCACGGCAGGAGTGTCCATGGTAGGCGTCACAGTCTCACTAGAGGCAATTTGAGATAAAGTACAAGACTCTCTGTGGATGAATGGTACCCTCAGATGACCCTCGAGTGAGGTGACCCTTGTCAAGAAAATTAAACAGATACTATTCTCAATAATTAAGCACTGCTTATTGTTCCACACAGGCAAGCTTCCCACAGTTGTGAATGTTTGCAAAACAAGGATAGTATTTTAACTGCCATCAGGTCATAAGGTATGAATTACGATATATTATCGGGTACACAGTCTTATGTTTAGCAATATAATTGGTATGAATTATTACCCTCCGTTCAAACACTGCCCAATGTTGTTGCTTCTGTAGAAAGTTATTTATGAGAGAGCTCTAAAAACGATAAAATGTTTATAGAGGGTTAAAATGATTTCAAATGTGTTTTCTAGGGTGGCGGGATACATCATTACTATTCTTAAATAATGGTATCTAATTTAGTAGAATGGTGTGTATGTTGCTCAGTGAAAACAGGCAATTACAATCTCGGATTTATGATGGACTCCAAATGTAAGCATTATGCAGCTTGGACACAATGTGTGATATGAAGTCCACAGGATTCTTCTAGAAGGAGAGATAACCTCTCCATTGCTGTTAGAAGTCCTTTGCTGTCCCTGTCCAGACAGCTGTCACAGGAGGCTCGGATCACAGGACAGGCAGGGCGCACAAGAGAGCATCTGCAGTGGGACGCGGATGGCGCCCACCCCGGGCCCCCACTTCTAAAATGTATTTCTTCCGTGAGAAGTTAGTGGAATTGATTTCTATTTTAATCCTCATCAGGAAACTCTCAACAGAAAACATCCTTAAATTAGCTGGGGGAGAAACTGTATTCCAAGTAAATGTTTAGAGTCATTTCATTACATTTTTCAAATTGTTTTTAGCTGCACATAAAAATCCATAAAATGAAGCTGAAAGCAATTATATTTCTATTTACTGTGGAATGGCAAGCTCTCTACAATGCTCAGCGTTTCCCAAAACAGTAGCACTGCATCCAAAAAGCTAAAAATAGACTCTCCACCCCCAGTCTTCCTCCTTTGCATCTTACTCACCAGCAGGGACTTTATGAAGCTCGTTCTGCAACCAGCAATGTTCTGCCCGACACGGCGCCCACAGCAGGTTGCACAGGGTTGGAGCACGCAAGACACAGGCTGGGGACAGTGACCTTTGCGGTTGTACACTCGACCCAAGGGCTGAAGACCCCTGTGCTGTTCCATTATTGTGATTTGCAAGTTTCTCTAAAATCTGGGATGCTTTGCAAACTTTAAAAGATGGCATTTTCAAAGGGTGCGTCTCACTAGAGCCCTGTGGTACAGCCGCGTCCCCTGCGGTAGGTAATTCCTCAGATCATTCTCCAGGCCTTTAGAAAGGCATTTAGATTTTAAATGTCACTTTCCGACATCTGCACAGCGTAATCTGGATTTTATGTCATTTGCTGGATCATGACAATGGCAGAAGAAAATCTTGAGGTCTTCGCAGAAGGAAATAATTAGAGAGGAATAAATCCATGCATTCGTTTCCATTGTGTTCCGTAGTAGGAATGCCTCGAACGTGCCGCTGTCTGCCTTTGAATTAATCATCCACAGCCGCTCAGCCTCTCTGCAGGCTGGCCTTGTCCTGTGGCCCCAGGGAGCGCGTGTGCTTCAAAGGGAGGCTGGCCAGTGCACGCAGATGACATTTTCCTGATGTCACCGTTTGGTGTCCCAAGTCTAAAGAAAAATGAAAGAGAACGAAAGGATTGTGGCATTCCAAGGGGGGCAATCAAAGCGCTAAAGAAAACTGCAATAAAACCAAATTCGACTGGAGGTTTTGATCTTCTTTTAAAATTTCAACAAAGGGGCTGAGGGTCCGTGATCTAAAGCAACTAGGAGAAGAATGGTAAATTCTGTCGCCCTCTGAAGAAGAGGCTTTGTCTCCAAACCTACGTCTGGGGATCGAAGGAGCCGA